CCAGTCTTATATATCTTATTATTTTCTCCAACACTTCTCTATTAGGTTGTCCCAGGAAAATGGCATCTTTATTCCCTCTGGGCCTTGACTGTTCCCCTCTCGTTGACCTGCCTGCCTTCCCCCATCTGCTTTTCCCAATGCCAGCTTCTATCTTTCAGGGCCTAATCCAAACCTAAGAAGACTTCCAGACCAGACTAATGTTCCCCTTCTCTGAACTTCTCTAGCATTTATAGGCTATAAAGTATAATTCAGAATTTGATTATATACTTTTATGTTTCCTTCCAGTGAGTGATCCTTTTATCTATGCAGATTGCAATTCTTCTAAAGAGCTTTGGACTTAGAATCAGACAGCCAGAGTTTGACTCTTGCCTCAAATTTGATGCGTGGGAAGTCATTTAATCCCTTAAAATCTCAACTCCCACCAACAAAATGGGAATAACAGTACTTACACTACCCACCCCTCTGAATTGTTGTAAAGAAACACAACAATTTGCTTTGCAAAATGACTCTGGAGTAAGAGGATCCTGCCTTTGAGGCTTACTGCCAGGGACCTTAGTCAAATCACTTAATCTCCAAGAGCCCAAGTTTCCTCATCAGCAAAAGAAAGGGGTTGGACTAAATGACCTCTAAGGTTACAACTCTAGAAACCTTAAGAAGCTATCTAAATGTTATCACTTTTTTTAAACACTTAAAAAAAAACCCAACGAATTTCAAATGTTTTGCTGGGGCCTCAATCTATAGGTATAAGTCTTTGGGACCTCCTGAGTACTGATTTCTCCAGCCTTCCAGAATAGAAATGTGTACCCTAGAAAGAGAAAGCTAAAGGGTGACTTAATTAGAGTCTCTCTAGTAAAAGCTCTTTGTTGGGAAGAGGATGGGGATAGATTTGAGCCCAAATTTAGGTTCTTTCAGTCTATGGGCAACAGAAGTGAACAACAGAAAATGGGCTTAACTGAAAGCAGGAAAATTGTGGCTCCATATAAGGAAAAGCTGCTTGGTGAAACATAAATTACTCTATGCTAAACATTAAACAATAGAAGCATTAATTTTAAAACTTGCAGAGGCCTTTGGAAGACATTGGGTGCCACCCCTTCATTTTCCAAATGAGAAAACTAAGGCCCAGAAGTATTAGGTCACTTGCCAAAAATCATTTATGTAGCAAGTATCAGAACCAGCATTTGAACTCAGGTCCTCTGACTCAGAATCAGTAGTTTATCACTATACTCTTGTACTGATGGGGATGGGATCAGAATTCATAAAAGGAAAAGACCATGTCTTTGGGATCTGGACCCCAAAAAGGAAAATCTCTGGCGTTTGCCCGAGGCTGTAATCCACTTCACTGGCCTTTCCTTATGGCTACACCCAATCTCCCAATTCTGTTCTGTTACCTCGCAATTGCCCCTGGCCACTTCCCACCCTAAATCCTGTCTAGACTCCATTCTCCCTGGCCACGTGGTCCAGGTCCCTGGAGTTCTGATCACTCCAGCTTACTGGCCACTCCCACAAAGATCCTCTTTAGACCCCTGCTCCAGTTACCCCAGACTACTTGGCCACTCCTGGATCCCTCCCCAGTCTTTCTGTATATAAGATTCATCTTGTCTCCATTAAGGTGCTCAGATTCTTATAATCTAACCAAGGGCTCAGATTCTTAAGATCTGGCTGGCTTGCATTAGTGATACAAATGCTTAGATTCCTTAAGAATCTGGCAAACATGGCAAATGTTCTGATAAACCTTGTCTTTGGCTGAAAGAAGGCTTGGGTTAAATTCATTTGGGCAGGACCTGAGTGTTGTGATTTTGGGGTCCCAGCATCCCTAAACTAATCTCAACAGTACCTCCAAAAAAAAAAACCAATCCTCTATTTCTTGAGAATCTTCTTTTTGTGTCTAGCAACTAGTACAAATCACTTTGAAGCTCAATGTCTGGAAAGTTAGTCATTTTACTTGATTTTGGAGGTGGAAAAAGTTATTAGTGTAATGTTACTTCCAAATCTAGTGGCCTTTTCTCAATCCTCATCCTTCTCGACCTCTCTGCAGCCTTTGACAATGTTGATCACCCTCTTCTTCTCTCTAGGTTTTTTGACTTTGCTATCTGACCTATTCTCAGTTTCCTTTGATGACTCTTTATCCAGGTCAGTGATGGTGATGGTGGCTCTGTACTGAGCCCTCTTCTCCCTCTATACTATTTTACCTGGTGACCTCATCAGCTCCCATGGGTATAATTATCATCTCTATGCAGATGACTAGCATATTTATATAGGTTGCCCTTGTCTCTCCTGAGCAGTCACATATCACTAAATACCAACTGAACATTTCAAACTGGCCATCCTGTAGGCATCTCAAACTCAACACATTCAAAAGAAAACTCATCATATTTCTCAACCCTCCTCTGAACTTCCCTATTTTCGTCAACAGCACTACTTTCCTCCATGTCACCTTGGTTTACCACCTAGGAACCATCCAGAATTCCTTAGATTTCCTCAATCTCCACATCAATTCTTGTTACTTCTGTCTCCACAACATCTCTTGAATAATCCATTCCATTAGCTCTATTGTTGCAGCCATGGTCCTAGGGTGGGTCCCAATTACCTCTTACCGGGAAGGTTTCATCAGCTTCCTCATTGGTCTACTTGACTCAACTTTCTCCTTTAATCCATCTTCCATAAAGCTACCAAATCACTCCTCTGCTGAATAAATTCCAGTGGCTTCCCCTAAAATTGAATGTAAAGTCCTCTGTTTGGCATTTTAAGCTCTCTAAAACCTCACATCAACCTACCTTCCCGGCCTTATGCTTCCCTTACCTACCCTATGGTTTAGACAAATTGACCTTGTTGTCTCTCCTGCATGGCCCTCTGTTTCCTGTCTCCAAGCTTCTGCACTTGATCTCCATCCCTCTTTCTTCACCTCAGCTTCTTAGAATTCATAGCTTCCATCAAAACTTTGCTTGAACATTCACCTTCCACATGAAGCCTCTTCTGATCCTCCCCTAGTGACTGGCACCTCCCCCTTCCCACCCCTAAATCCCCATACACACACCATATCTATATTTATATATGCACCTATTGTTTCCCCTATAAACTCTAAGCTTGAGGGAAGGCACTGTTTCATTCTTCTGTATCTCTAGTGCCTGGCATAGAATAGTCAACTAATAAATGTTTGCCAATAGATTGGTTAATTAATTGATTGATTGAACTGGGGGCTCAGGAAAAACTTCCTGTCAGAGTTTTCACCTGAGTTGAACCTTGAAAGAAGGTGGGGATTCTAAGTGGCATAGATGAGGAGGGAGCACAGAACATGAATGAAGGACAGACTGGGCCAAAGAACAAAGCTGGAGATGAAATGGCAATTTGGGACAACAGGCTGTAGGACAATTTGGATGGAATATAGAGCGAGTGAAGAGAAGTAAAAAGAAATGTCTGGAAGTAGTTGGGAGCCTACGAGAGAATTCATATAGAGTTTTCAGGTTTTCACAGTTCTTTAGATATGTTACCTAACTTGATCCTGAAAACAACCAGGTAAGGTAGGTGTTATTATGATACCCATTTTCCAGATTGAGGAAATTGAGGCTAAAAGAGGTTAAGTGATTTACCCAGGGTCACACAGGTAAGTGCCTGATGACGGATTCTGACTTAGGTCTTCCTGATTCCAAGTCCAACACTTTGGACATGCTAGGCTGAGGAGTCTGTGCTTTCACTTAAAAGCAGGAGGGAGGGCTATGAATTGGTCCAGCCATTCAGTAAAGCAATTTGGAATTATGTCCAAAAAGTTACTAAAATTTTGTATACCCTTGACTCAGCAATGCAATTACTAGGTCCATCCACCTCAAAGAGATCAAAGAAATAAGGCTCAGGGCCATAAAAACAAAAATATTAATATTATTGCATCATAAGAAATTATGAAAGGAGAGGTTTGAGAGAAAGCTGGGGAGAGTTTGTATGAGTCAATACTAAGTGAAGTGAGCAGAACCAGGAGAACAATTTCTACAAAAGCAACTTTGAAAGACTTAAGAACTCCTTTGAATGCAATGACCAATCAAAATTTCAGTGGCTCAGTGATAAAGCATATTAATCCCTTCCTGACAGATGCAGAATAAAACATTTATTTTTAGATGTGACCAATGGGAAAATTTGTTTTGTTTAACTAGGTATATTTCTTTGAAATGTTTTCTCTTCCCCCAACTGGGGAAGGAAGAGAGTAAGGATAGAGAAGTCACAAAACAAAAAGGGAGAAAAAAGAAAAGAGAAAAAAGAGTCATTGAAGCATTTAAGAAAAAAAAATGCACAGAGAAGAACACAGAGAAGGCCAGTAAGAATCACATACAAGAGGACAGTTTTGAAAGTTACATGTTATTTATTATATTTAAAAAGAAAAACAAGTTTTACATATAATAGAGAATTACAGTTTCCTGTACAATCTCCTTTCCTCTTCTACTATGTATATAGAAGTGTTCCTCATATTTGGGGTTTGTTAGGTTCAGAATTTTAAAAAATTAAAAGCCATATGGAGCCACTGAAGATTCTTGAGCAGGGGAGTAACACAGTCTCACTTTTATTTGAGGAATATTAATTTGGCAGCTGTGTAGAGGATAGATTTGAGATGTGAGAGAATGGAAACAGCGAGACCAATTAGGAAGCTATTACAGCAGTCCAGGTTGAGTGTTGAGGAAAGCCTGAACCAAATAGTAACTGTGATTGGAAAGAAAGTGACAGATAGGACAGATGCTGAGGTAAAGTTGCAAGACTTGACAATTGATTGTATTTGAGACATGGGGGGCAGGAGAGGGCAGAGACAAGAGTTGAGGTGGAGTCCAGAGTCGAAAACCTGGGTGGGGGGAATGGTCAACACAACTGGGAAGTATGGAGGAGAATTAAGGAGAAGCTACCCAGTGCCTTTTGTATGTCTGGGGCTAAAAGCCAGGGCAATTTAAAACTCCAACATCTTGTTAGTAACAGAGGCAGTATCAATCTTACTGGGTCTCTCCTTTCATTTTACAGTCTCTTACCTTCACTTTTTTCCCATCTATCTCAAGAGAGCGCACAGTGAAGTCCACACCAATTGTATTCTGTTGTGTGTCTGTATAGAATCCAGATTTAAAGTGTTGCACCACGCAAGTCTTTCCCACATTCGAGTCTCCAATGAGGATGATCTTGAACAAATAGTCAAAAGTCTCATCTGGTGCCCGGACGAAACTGGAAAACTGCATGGTTCTTAGGGCTCAGATGGGTCAAGGGAGACAAAAAGGAGAAATATAGATTTTAGGATACATTTGGGTATTGAAAGATGCTCTGGGAGGGGAGATGCCCTTACATAGGCTCACGTCTGTTAGAGGTGTGATATGATTTCTGGGAATGCCTATAAGAAAAAGATATCCTCATTTTCCCTTCTGGGTCTAGCTTAAGGCCACTTCATATTCTGTCCCCTCTGTAGTTAACACCACTAACTGAAACTCCAGTCATAGTAAAATAACATAAACAAATTCCCACATACTAATGTAAATCAATTACCATAATGAAGACATCAAAAGAATCTAGAAATCATCCCAGCCAGCAAACACTCGATTTGCAAGCAGAGATATCTAGCAGCCAAGGGCAACACCAGGCTAGAAAATAAAATAATTTGTAAAAGTTCAGAGAAGAAGATGATAGAAGGTTATGATCAGTAGTGCCTCTTAAAACAGTGAAAAGCAGTGGAGGTAAAAATAATTTTATAGGAAACTGAGTAATACCCAATAAGATGAAAATCATCCCCAGGATAAAACTGGAAGGACAAGGAACAGATTAAAAAAGCAAAAGCCCTGTAAAAATTCCTATCATCAACTTTAATCCATCAATGACAGTGGAGTTACAATATTTGGACTCTTATCATCACAGTTCCCATTGTGCTGTAGAAGAAAGTAGAAAGCCTGAAAGAAAACAAAGATGGGAAAAGCAGCTGACCCAGACCAAGGATACACAGAAGTCCACGTGGGAAGAGATACAATAATGAGCTCATTGATGGATAAATTTTCAAAGTATTTGAAAGAGGGAAGGTCACTAAAAGTTCGTTTTTTAAAACCCCCCAAACTATTGTTCCTTATTATTACTCCTTCCCAAGGAAACAGAGAAAATATCAGACACCACTGACCTGCAGTCATTTCTCATGTTTTAAAAAAAACTCTTAAAAGAATAATCTATAAATATATTGAAGCTTGATGAAGGTATGAGAAAAGGAACAGGCAAATTTTTTACAGATATTGTATACAATAGGATATCACATTTAAAACTGATTGAAAGGTATTGAGAATAGAGGATCCCTCTGTGCTTATTATTTGTTCACTATAAAAAAGCAGTTGATTCCACAGTGATTCTACACTTAACCAAATGGTTAGTTGATTTAGTAAATGTAGGTTATTTCTTGGGAGCTGCAATCCATATCCAATCTTTCAACAACTCATGCATCTTGCTTTCTTCCAATCTCAAAGAAGTAAACTGGCTTTAGAGTTAGATGACTCAGGTTGGGCATGAAAAAGTGAAAGGTTATCCAGTAAGGGTCATAGGAAGAAGAGATGAATGGTGGTGATATTTGTTTAAGCACGGGCAGCTAGGCAGAGCAGTGGATAGAGCACCGGCCCTGAAGTCAGGAGGACCTGAGTTCAAATCCAGCTTCAGACACGTAACACTTACTAGCTGTGTGACCCCGGGGCAAGTCACTTAACCCCAATTGCCTAAAAAAAAGAAAGAAAAGAAAAAAAAACACTATAAAGAGATATTTGTTTAAGCAGCAATTTGTCAACCTAACAAGAATAGTTGAGGGGTCCATTGTCTTCCTGAGGCATGGATTTGATGGAAAACTCCCAAGACCTGTCAAAACTGATGACTATCACTGATTTCTATTGATTCTTGGGGATACAAGTGACAATGAAATTTAATAATGACAAATAGGTTTGATTTTTTTTTTGGTGAGGCAATTGGGGTTAAGTGACTTGCCCAGAATCACACAGCTAGTGTTATGTGTCTGAGGCCGGAAATAATGACAAATAGGAAGACTTACACTTAGGTTTAAACATTTTAACTTCACAAATCCACGATGGAGAAATGTGAATACATAGTACTTTGTTCCCTAAAAAAGATCTAAAAGTTTGAATGAACCATAAATTCAATGAGTCAGTGGTGACAAGGTATCCAAGAAAATTAAGGCAACTTTCAACTTCAAAAGCATTTATTAAACACCAACTATGTGCCAGTTGCCCAGGTCATAAATACAAAAGTAGCCAAACAGTCCCTGATCTTATGGGCATTCTATCAGGAAAATTTGAAATCCAAATTAAATTCCCTTAATTTCTACCTGTTGAAGGTACAACTCAAATTCTGCGCTTTCTTTCATGACTTCCCTAATTCCTTTGCTTGATAATAAAGTCCCCGTACAGACTGCATATAACATTTTGTTTTGCAATTCTCTAATAGACATAGCATGAAATATTGTGTAGTATGAGAAAACCAGGAAGACTTGGGTTCAAGTCCTACTTCTGATCATTGTCAATGGGATCCTAGGGCAAATCATTTAATCTCTTGGTGCTCTAGGCAACACATTAAACCTGTAAATCTCATAGCAGAATGCTTGGCATAGGGAACTTTCTTATCGGAGGGTCCCCTAAACCACAGAAATCACAGTTCCTGATCTCCTCTTATGGTAATGTTAGAGCTTTCTTGGAGTCTTAACTCCCTCCTAGATAGAGTTCCTGGAGAAAAATGTCTGTATCTTATCTAAATTTCTTATCACCTCAGCATCTAGTACTTGATAAATATTTGTGCTTTTAAATAAGGGAGTACTTCACACCTCTTTTTGGAAAGTCAGAAATCGACCAATAATTTCCTTTTACCTACAGCAAAACCATCCATCTATAAGACAAGATATATAAATCCATTCAACTTTCCTTTTTTCCCATTTAAAAGCCAAAGAAAGCCCTAGCACTTCCGCCCTCTTGTCCCTGGAACACGAGCTGAAATCTCATTTGGCGTATCCCTCCCCTTCCCAGGTCTTCTCTAGGGTTTCCAGTAAACCTTTCTCACCTTTCTCCACCAAGAAAAAAACCAACCCCCATTAAAAAACCCCAACCCCTAACCCCTCACCCAAAATCCGTCAACTCTCACCCAGCAAGCAATGTAATTGTTTACTCTACCGCTGCTTCCTCCTCCTTTATTCTATCTTGTGCCTCCTTCATTTTTGGGTCACCTCTTGCTTACCTGTTTTTTCTCACCTGTGCCAGCAGGTATTGATTTTTCTTTAGTTTTCTTTCCTTGTCTTTAACCCCCTTCCACTGTTCTCATTGCTCGGTGGGAAGCGTAGTTCTGTCCCCCAGGTGGCAGCTACAGAAAGTGAAAGGAAAACTCAATCCCCTCGCATCCACCCCACCCTAGCGTGGAGCCAAATCCTTCTCATTACCAGAGAAGTAGAAGGCTCTAAACTGACTAGACAATGCTGAGTGATAGCAGCTTTCCCACTAAACGTTTCTTATGCACAGTGAAAAAACTGGAGACAAAAAAAAAAAAGCCAATTAACTCACCCATTACCTCCAAAGCTGCCTCTAGTTTCTTTTCTTCTTTCCATCAACGTTTCCCACCTGTCCTTTTTTAGGGAGCTTGGGAAATAATCAACATAGGCAGTAGATATTGAGATTTCTATGGGAAAGTTTTAAGTGACTGGGCCAGCTTTGTAGAGTCAAAACTGTCTTGAAGGATTCATTGCGGAAGAGGAATAGATGTCAGGGGGGAAAAAAAACAACCCAAAACCGAACACCTGAGCTGAATTGGCAAGGGTTTTTTTTGTTTGTCTGGAGGAGAAGGTTGGTTCCCCCACCCCTACCCCTGCAGAAAAACCTGGGAAGGGGAGAATTGAACAATTGTTGCTTCACTTCTAAATAACCACAAGAAGACAAGGTTAATTATCTAGGGGCTATTGGGAGCTCAGAATTTATCAATTCATCATGGTGTCTGCTGGCTTCAAGGGAAAGTTGATTTTTTTTTTAACTCATCTATAATCTGGAATGAATTCTGCTTTAGTCTTAACAAAAGTGTGAGGACTAGATCCACCTTTGCTGTAGGGGTAAAATGTAAGAATCCAAACAATAATATGGGTCTGGTGGGGTACTGGGCAGAGGCTGAGACCTTTGTCCCAATTTGGGCCCCATTTGTCTATGGGCCCTAGAAAACCCTTGGACTGTCCTAGAATTCTCCCACTTGATCCAGGAGGTCTCTGGTGTTCCCCTGAAGCCACATCAATTGGCCTTTCATTGTGGCTACGCCCAATTTCCCAATTCGCTGTTACCCTTGACCTAGCCTAGCCCCTCCATTGTCTTACCTCCCGATGGTCACAGGTCACTTGCCCCCCTTAATCCTATCAAGGCTCCATTCTCCCTAGGCCACATGGTCCAGGTCCCTAGAGTTCTATTACCTCATAGACAGTATACTTGGCTACTCCTAGATCCCTCCCATAGTCTTTCTGCATATAAGGTCCATCTTGTCTCCATTAAGATGCTCAGATTCCTTAAGAGTCTGGCTAATAAGGCAGATCTTTAATAAACCTGGTCTTTGGCTCAAATAAGGCTTGGGTGGAATTCTTTCAGCAGGACCTGTGTGTCGGGATCTTGGGGTCCCAGCAACCCTAAGTCTCTAGACCTCATCAGGGACACCCACTAAGCAAGCTATGTGAAAGAGAGGTTCTGGGATGTAGTAAATGGAAGGTTGGTTTTGGAGTCAGCAAGACTTGGTTTTAAGGTCTGCCTCTAACACATAGTAGCCCCATTACTATGGACAAATCACATCTCAGTATCCCTAGGTTCTCTAAGAGTGGAGTTGCTGATCTGTATTGGTGGAGATTTTCACATCAGAGAGATCTCTGAGCTGATGGAATCTCAGCCCCATGCATGCGTGTGCGTGTGTGCGCGAGCAAGTGTGAGAGAGAGAGAGAGAGGCAATTGGGGTTAAGTGACTTGCCCAGAGTCACACAGCCATTGAGTGTTATGTGTCTGAGGCCAGATTTAAACTCAGGTCCTCCTGACTCCAGTGCTCTATCCACTGTGCTACCTAGCTGCCCCAGGTGAACCTATTCTGGAATCACTCCCTTGGTTTATTGGTTGTTTTTGCCAGGCACTACTTTGCTGCCTGAAATAGAATTAAAGGATTTATAGCTGGAAGAGATCTTAACAGATTCCAGGCCCTTAATTTTAGAAATGTGGAATAACTTCTTGGAAGACACACAGTTAAGTGCTCCATCAGTATGACTGTGGGCAAATCATTTCCCTTCCCCAGGACTAGTTTCTCTTGTCTATAAGCTAGCTTCTAGTTCTAAAAATTCTGCAAGCCATGACCCCAATATCATTAAATTGTGCATACCCTTTGAACCAGCAATACCTTTTACTAGGTCTATACCCCAAAGAAAGAGGAAAAGAGCCTAATTGTACAAAAACATTTATACCATCTTTTTTTTGTAGTAGTAGCAAAGAATAGAAAACTAAAGGGGTTCCCATCAATTGAGAAAAGGCTGATCACAAATTATGGCATATGAATGTATTGCTGCATAGATGCTGAGAAACCTGGGAAGACTTGTAGGGACTTCTGCAGAGTGAAGTGCACAGAACCAGAAAATTTAAACAAATAACAACAGCAAAGTAAAATCAACTTTGGAAGAGTTAAGAACACAGCTTAACTGAATGACCAATCACTATTGATGATGAACTATGCCATGCACTTCATGAAAGAGAGAGATGGATTGCAGATACAGAATGACACATCCGTTTTTTGACATGGACAATGTGAAAATTTGTTTTGCTAAGTGGCATTACTGGCCTGGAGTAAGAAAGATCTAAATTTAATTCTAGCCTCTGGTACTTATTAGCTGTGTGACCCTGGCTGAGTCACTTAATCTCTGTTTGCCTCAGTTTCCTCATCTGTAAAATAATAATAATTCTCAAGTTTCTTGTGAGGATCGAGTGAGATTACATTTGTAAAGAACTTTGCAAACATTAAGGTTCTATGCTAGCTTAAAAAAATGAGACATAACATCTCTGGGCATGGGTAATATGAGGATTTGTCCTGCTTTGACTATGCATAATTTGTTATAAGGGTTTTGTTTTTCTTTTAAATTGATATGGCTGCGGGAAGGAGAAAAAGTTTGTTGAAAACATTTTTTTTTTAAAAGAAAAAAAAGGGGCAGCTAGATGGTGTAGTGGATAGAGTTCCGGCCTTGGAGTCAGGAGGACCGGAGCTAAAATCCGACTCAGACACTTGATAGTTACTAGCTGTGTGACCCTAGGCAGTCACTTAAACCTCATCAAAGAAAAAAAAAAGGTTCAAAAAAAAAAAAATCCCATTTCTTTGAGATGCAGGTGAGCCCGATGAGGGCAGGACTACAACTCCCAGAATGCACCACGGAAGCCAAGCCGAGAGCCTGGGGCTCCTGGCCCAGCCCAGGGGTCACGTGGCCGTCCGGAAACGCTGGGCTGGCGGCTGGTGGCTGAGGTGAGGTGGCGGAGCCGAGCGCGGCGCGGCGCGACGGAGAGATGCGGGGGCAGCGGCTGCTACAGCGGCGGGACCAGCTGTTAACGATGTATGTTGGAGCGGCTGGCGGTGGTTGGGCGCGGCTCGGCGGCGCGGGGGGAGGGATGCATCCCGGCTGCGCCTCGGAAACGAGGGGATGCCCTGAGAACGACGGAGGGGCTGGCGGCCCCCCGCGGTGAGCTCGCGCCCCCTTCTGCACCCCCGGGCCCTCGAGCCCCTTCCTGGGGGCGCAGTCCGTGCTGGGCTGAGCTTTGGCTCGCGGCCGATCCAGCGGAAGGGAGCTGACGGGGAGGGGGCGCGAGGGCTGGCGGGTGGGGGGATGGTAGAATAGGGGTGGGTCCGAGGGATGGGAGGGTGGGGAGGAGAAAGGTGCGGTGGCAGCGAGGTTGGGGGGCGGGGGGCTCGCTCGGGGGGCTAGTAGGATGGGAGGCTGGAAGAATAGGGGTGGGCCCGAGGGCTGGGAGGGTGGGGACGAGAAAGGGCGCAATCGCAGCGAGGTGGGGGGGCAGGGGCGGGGGCCAGGGGTTGGGCTGGCAGGGTGGGGGTGGGCCCGAGGACTGGCAGGATGGAGACAAAAAAGACTCAGCGGCGTGGAGGATGGTGGGCGGGGTGGGGGAACTGGGGGGGTCGGAAGGGTGGGCGTGGACGTCTAGATGTGGGCCTGAAAGACGATGTCAGACCCAGACTGTGGGCGGGGTGGGGGGGACTGGGGGATCGAAAGGGTGGGCGGGGGCGTCTAGACGTGGGCCAGAAAGACAGACGGCAGACCCATTCTGTGGGCGGAGTGGCATCCCGGCAGTTAGCCCAGGTAACATACCTTCCCTGCCCCTAGCTAAGTGAAGACTTAAAAACAATAAAGGAGGCTTCTTTCCTCCCCTCCGCCATCCCTTAAACCCCACCCTGAGTCAGTTTAGCTTTGTTACTGAGTCCCTAAATTAGTGAAAGGAAGGGGAAAGGTTTGAGAAGGTGGTGATGCCGTTTCGGGTAGGATGGGAAGGTTTCAAGAGTGGTGAGCTGCTTTTTGGTGGTAAGATACAAAAATTACAATGATGAGGAATAAAGGTGTATTCTGAAGAGATAGCTAGGTTGTGCCTTTCCTTGGAATCAAGTAGACCTGAGTTCTAAAGCTGCCTCAGATGCTTTAGTAGTTTTGTGACCATGGGCAAGCGAGTTACCTTCTGTCTGCTTTACTTTTCTCATTGTAAAATGGAGACAACAGTAGCAACCACCTCCCAGGGTTGTGGTGAGGATAAAAATGACATAACATATGCTCAGCTCTTTGCAAATCTTAAAGCATTGTATATACATGTTAGCTTAGAAAGGATTTTCCCTCATTACTCTGTGAGGTCATTAAGAAGCATATGATACAGTGGAAAAGTGCCTTGTTTTGGAGTCTAATCCAAGCTCTGCTACTTAGAATGTTTGGTAGTTTAGAAGAGAACTTGTTTCTTCCATGTGATATTAAAATCACAAATCAAAATCACAATCTCAAAGGCTGTGGCCTGTGATACCTTATCTGTAAAATGCACTTGGATTAGATGACCTTCAAGATCCTTTCCAACTCTATACCTTTGAGAATATGTGATGGGTAGTTCAAGAATTATTATGCCCATTTTACAGATAAGAAAACCTATGCTTACAGTGGTTAGGAGACCTAATTGTGGTTATATGCCTCCTAAGTGGCCAGCTAGAGCTAGGATTTGAACTCGGGTCTTTTGACTCCAGGTACTAATGTTCTGAATTGAGAAGAGGGACTACAGCTAGGCTGAGAAGACCCAGAGTTCTGGTTGAACTTAGATTGACTTAGATCTCTAAGTGGTCCCTTTGAACTCTGAAATCACATGATCCCAACCCTGATCTTGGCCTTCCTATAGGACCTGCCATCCTACCGTACCGACATGCACACACATTTAAATGTCTTTAAGGGGTTCTTAAATCTTTTAGGGCTTGACTCTTTCCTGTATCTCTTTTTTTTTTTTTTTTTTGGAGAAAAGATGGTACAGAAAATTAACAGCTTACACATTGATTTCACTGCAAACCAAAGGTTTACATAGTTTTGCACACACGTATACACTCTCTGTGACTTAGAGTTTAGGAAATGTCCATCTTAAGAGCTTTTGCATACATTTAAACCAAATTGGGAGGAACAGTTTAGTATCTAGAACTCCAGACTGGGTGGAAGAATTCTTAATTGATAAACTCCATATCTGTCATAATAAGAAGTTTGATCCAGGTAGAGTTACAAGTTTGAAAAAAGGCGAATTTGTACTTCTAAATTTTCCCCAATTTTGTTGTGTCTCTACCATAGCATTTTTTCCCACCACTCACAAATCAACATCCTAGACTAGATCTTCAGTAGCTTTCTTATTGGTCTGTCTGCCTTTACTCTCTCCCCTCTCAGATTTATCATTCACACTGCTGACAGATTTATTACCAAAGCACAGATCCGATCGTGCTCACCCTCTTGCTAAGGGAACTCTGGTGGCTAGTTCTTACCTCCAGGATAAAATAAAAAATTCCGTTTGGTTTTTAAAAACCCAGTCTTGCTTTCCTTTCTGGCTTTCCAGTCTGGCTCACAATTTACCTTTCCAGGCTCATTTCAAGGACTTGTTCTTTGTGTACTTTACATTCCAGTCAGACTGGCCTACTTCATCTTCCTGGTTTGATTCTGTTCTGTGCCTTGGCTCAAGGCAGTCTCTCATCCCTGGAAAGCAGCCCCTCCCCACTGCTACCTCTTAAAGGTAGTGGATAGAGTGCTGAACCTAGAGTCAGGAAGATTTGAATTCAAATTCAGCCTCACTTGCTAGCTGAGCGACCTTAGGCAAGTCACTTAACCTCTTTGGCTCAGTTTCCTCATCTGTAAAGTGTCAGCATGTCTTGAATATACTCCTTTCTCTCCCCTGACACTGTCACTATTCCAGTGCAGGTCCTCATCATTTCATGCTTGAATTACTTCAATGACCGCCTGGTGGATTTGCCTACCTCAAATCTCTCCCTCCTCCAATCCATTTTCCATTCAACCAGTGATTTTCCTTAAATGAAAGTCTGATCATGTCACATACCCCCTCCCAACTTAAACTCTGGTGGCTTCCTGTTACCTCTAGGAACAAATACATACTTCTCTGTTTGACATTCAAAGCCCTTCATAACCTATCCCTCTCTTACCTTTCAAGTCTTCTTACTCCCTGACATGTATTTTTCCATCCAGTGACATTGACCTCCTGGCTATTCCAGAAACAAAACAATCCATCTCTCAGCATTTTCTCTATCTGATCCCCATGCCTGGAATGTTCTCCCTCCTCAACTTCACCTGCTGATTTCCCTGGCTTTCTTTTAGTCCAAACAAAAATTCCACCTACTACAGGAAGGCTTTCCTAACCTCTCTTGATTCCAGTGCTTTCTCTCCTTTATTTCCTGTTTATCCTGTATATAGATTATTTTGTATATATTTGTTTGCATGTTGTCTCTCCCATTAGATTGTTAGCTTCTTGAGGGCAGGGATTTGTCTTTTGCTTCTTTGTATCCCCAGTGCTAAGCTCTGTGCCTGGCATATGGTAGGTGCTTAATGTTTCTTGAATTGAATCAAGAATAATAACATATAGTATATTATACACACATAAAATATAGAATATAATAATCCTCCTTGTGAGGATCAAATGAGGTAATATTTGTAAAGTGCTTAACACAGTGCCTGGCACGTTATAGTTACTATATAAATGCTGGTTATTATTATCATAGGATCTCTAGCTTTCTTCAAATCTCATTTCATTTGCCACATCCTAGAGGTGTAACTACTCCAAATTCTCCCTTCTTCTGGTAGTTATTTTATAGCTACTTTTCTATGTATGTAAGCTCCTTGAGGGCAGAGGCTTTCATATTTTTGTCTTTGTATACCCAGAGCTCTGCACCAGTAGCTGGCTTGTAGTAGGGGCTTAATAAATGCCTGTTGGCATTGGAATGAGATGAAAGTAATGTACACTCCTTGGTTTCCCAAGGAGATGGTGTTTGGATTATCATATTGATTTTCATGCAAAATATTAAAAATAAATGAGCTGTACTGTCACACACTCGCCCAGTTCCCAAAATCACATAGAAGGGAACTCAAAGTTCTAGTTTAACCCAAAGTAAAAATTCCATCTTCAACAGCTCCTCAAGTAGTCAAGGATTTGTTCTGTAAAATTCGGATTCAGTCAAAAGGCTGCATTTGAGGATCTAGAAGGTCACACGTGGCCTCTGGGCCACAGTTTCCCCACCCCTGCTGTACGATGAACCATTCCACATTTGGATAGTTCTTATTGTTGAAGTGTTTTCTTACATTGAGCCAATGTGGTCTCTGAAACTTTTTTTACCCACTTTTCTTAGTTCTCTTCTTAGGTCTTTTCCACTTGACAGTTTTTCAGACACTTGAAGACAGCCCCCATAGCCCTTTCTTTCTCTCCCCCCAAACCGCTGCCCCTACACCCTCCCTGCGCCTGAATTCCTTTTTTCTTTTTAAGGCTGCTCATCCTCTAGCGCCATCAGTGCATCTTTTATATGATATGGCTTGATACGACTTCCTGTTCTGTCTTCTTAACCATTCTGAGTGCCTCCTGGAAGAGTTGGAGCTTGTTATTATTACCCTTCCTGGGAGCAGCTCGGTGGATCAGTGGATAGAGCATTGGACCTGGAGTCAGGAAGATGAGTTCAAATCCAGTTTCAGACATTTATTACTTGTGACCTTGGGCAACCACTGGAAAAGAAAATGGCAAAGCACTGCAGAAAAGTTCAACACCAGATGGATAATGTGGGCCATGGGGTCATGAAGAGTTAGGCACGACTAGACATCAATACCCTTCCTAAAAATGTGTTCCTGAAGCAGATCTCGGACACTTCAGATGTAGTCTGAGGAGGGCAGAATGTAGTAGGACTTCCTGCTTTTGAAAAGAGTGCCTTTATTTGTGCTGCCTGATTACATTTGCTTTTGAGTCTTCCATGTGACTCTGAGCTTGCAGATGACTTCCCTCATTTTCACGGTCTCTTGTCTAAACATGTCTTTCTGATCCAATGTTTATAGTTAATTTTTTGAACCCAAGTATAGAATTTTACATTTCTCTCTATTAAGTGTAATCTTTTTAGATTTGAACCATTTTCTACTTGACAATTATGTATTGCATTATTTAGTGTTTATCTCATTTAATCATCACTATAAGATATTTACTATATATTAATATTTCCATTACACAAATGAATAAACTTCAGATATGTTAAGTGATTTAATAATATAGATAGTGCCTGAAGCAAGATTCAAACCCAGGTTTTTTTTGTTTTTTTTTTTTTAACTTCTATGTTGTTCAGTAGTTTCCAACTCTTGGTGACCACATTTGTAACAGCATATGTAAATCACTTTAGCACTCGAGAAAGGTGAGTTATTGTTGAGTTATTTCAGTCAGGTCTGATGCTTCATGACCCCTTCTGGGGTTTTCTTGGCAAAGATACAGGATTGCTTTGACATTTCCTTCTCCATTCCATTTTACAGATGAGGAAATTGAGGCAATCAGGGTTAAGTGACTTGCCCAGGGTCATAGAGCTAGTAAGTGTGTGAGGCTAGATTTTAACTCAGGAAGATGAGTCTTCCTGACTCCAGGCCTGGTGCTTTGTCCACCCAGGTGAGCCACCTAGCTGCCCAACTCTTGTCCTGTACCACATTGTTCTTCTGTCCAATATATTACTTTTCCCTCCCAGCTTTCTCTTTGCATGTTTAATAAGCATCCCATCTATATCAAAAACTTTCAACAATACAGGGACTAGGACCAATCCTTGGGTTCCTTTAAGGATCTCCCTGCCAATTGACATCAATTATATTTTTTAGGTTCAGTCTTCCAACCACTTCTGAATCCACCAAGCTTTTATCATCTAGCCCCTATCTCTCCATCTTGTCTACAAAGTTAACATGAAAGATCTTGTCAAATGCCTTGCTGAAGGGGCAGCTAGGTGGTGCAGTGGATAGAGCACCGGCCCTGAAGTGAGGAGGACCTGAGTTCAAATCCGGCCTCAGGCCAAATACTTGACATTTACTAGCTATGTGACCTTTGGCAAGTCACTTCCCCAGTTGCCTAAAAAAAAAAACAAAAGAAAAAACAAATGCCTTGCTGAAATTGAAGCTTACTGTATTTGCAGCATTCTTCTGATCTACCTGTTTAGTAACTGTCAAACAAGGAAATGAAATGAGTCTGGTATAACCTGGTTGAAACTATGTTGGCTCTTAGTGATCACTTCCTCCCTTTTTGATATTTATAAACAATCCCTTTAATAGTATTTTTTTTTTTTTTAGAATTTTGCCAGGTCTCAAAATTAAGCTCATTGGCCTATAGTTTCAAGAATCCATCTTCCTTCCTTTTTTTTTTTCCACCTTGAAGATCAAAACAGCATTTATCCAGTTTTAGTCCTTTGGCACCTCTCCCATGCTCCCAAATTTATAATATCTTCCCATCAAAATATTTCTAAAAATGAGGCCCTAAATGAGTTTATAGCCTTTAAGGCTTTTATGTATTTACTTGTTCACCTATAATCAGGTAAAAGCAAGTAAGATAGAAATTATTGTGAATGTAGGCTTGGAACATGCTTGTTATTCTTTGGTATGGGAATTCTCTTTTACCTTTTATAGTATATTTGACAATCAGTATTTTGGTAATTTTTTCATTATCGTAATAAGAAATGACTAATATGATTTTGTTAGGATTATATAAACATGATATAAGCCTAAGTAAATTGACATGTCTTCATACATATCCTTTATGAATTGCATTCTAATAATTTTTTTTGTCTTGCCAGACAGGAAAGATGATCTAAATCCTTCACCTTCCGAGCATTAAAATCAAGGTTGAGGTGAAAGGACGGGAAGAAAGCATGGCTGGGCCCGGTACTTTTCAGGGTGGGACTTGGATATCCAGATTTACTCATCATCACGTTGTTGTGTTCCTGCTTACTTTCTTCAGGTGGGTGTATTGTTGAAATTCGTTCTCCTGATTCACTTTGGCTCATCCCCTGTCTTTGAATTATTGTTCCTATGCACATAACTCCCAAATCTGTACTTCTAGGTTTGACCTCTTTTCCAAATTCCAAACCAAGACTCCAGCTGAGTACAGGATGTATATCTACCTGGATATTTCATTGCTCCATCAAATTTAATGTTTTGAGCAGTTTATTTTCCCACTAGACCTCATATTTCAAACTTAGCTGCTTTTTTCATTGTTGTTATTAGTTCCTTATTCTCCCACATTCCAAACCTTAATCTAATCTTCTGCTTTACTCTCCTTCACCTCTAATATAGTTATCAAATCCTATTTATTCTGTCTTCCAGTGGCTTGTGTCCTCACCCATTAGTTTACATTAACTTTGTATAGGTTTTTATTATGACTTGCTTATATTATTGCAATAGCTCCATAACAAGCCTTTCTGTGTCTATTCTCCCCGCCCGCCCCCCCTTTTTTTCCCATTTTGGTGAGGCAGTCAGGGTTAAGTGACTTGCCCAGGGTCACAGAGCCAATAAGTGTCCAGTGTCTGAGGCCACATTTAAACCCAGGTCCTCCTGACTCCAAGGCCAGAGCTCTATCCACTTTGCCAAATAGCTGCCCCTCCCCTTCTCTTCTTCCATATTCTCTTATCTTTCTCCAGCTGCCAGACTTATCTTCATTTTGCTTAGATAAGTGCTTCTTAAACTGTGGGTCAAAATTAAACTCGTAACAACCAAAAATTAACTCAAAATCAAACATGAAATGAACCTGAGGTGTTTTTGGCAACAGTTGCCAATGTTGCATCCTGCAACTTCCCTGTAGCCTTAGTTTGAACACAAAGCATGCACACTTGACACCACATATGCCCTCAGGCCACACAGCCAACTCATGCTGCAGGAAAGGGGTTACTAGTGAAAAAAAATTTAAAAAGCCCTGGTTTAGATCCATTTATTGTCCTAGCTCTCTTCAGACTTCTCAGTGGCATCCTGTTGCTTAGCTTAATGTTCCTACAACTCCAGTGCTGTTTTCTCATACTTCTGCCTTCCACGTATCATACTCAACTATTACAGTGTGCTCAATCCTGTGTGCCAAAGATGTCAAACTCCCGAGTCCCTGAACCAGATTAAAATGTAATTGAGAAACAGTTAACAAAATAAATAAAAATGTAACACAACATGTTATTTTGTGGTTTTCTAGGTCAATATGCAGCAGTAGGGACCTGAATCTATTTGAGTTTAACAGCACTGCTGTACACATCCTTTGTTTTCCTACTTCTGTTCCTTTTATGCTGTTTCTTCTCCTTGGAATGTAAACCCTCACCTCACCAGTGAATTTCCTCCCTACACACAGTATTTCTGTTAACATTAATTTGTATCATAATTATTTGTGGTTATTCTGTCCCCTTACTCATAAATTCCATGAAGGTAGGGATCTTACATTTAAACTTTGTATACACAGTAGGTGTGCCTAAAGGTATTCAGTTGAATTAAATTGATCTGCCTAGTGCAGTGATTGCCAAGACTTGGAATCCGAGAGCTGCTTCTGCTTGCTTATGAGAATCAGGTGCTTAGGAATCGGGTTCTCGAGTAGTGGAAACTGAGAGAGCTCATTTCTTTAATTCTTGTTTCTAGTGTTCTGGCAGCTAATGTAAGGATCCCTCTTAAGATGATGCTTTGATGCTTGCCAGTGAGAAGTCTCTAAGAGGGCCAGTGACTGTAACTGAGATGCCTGTGTTAGCGTTGTGTAGCCGTAAAGGCTTATCTGTGTCGTGGCCTTATGTAACACCATGTTCCCATGTCTTTGTACTGCCTGATCCTGTACCTCGAATGCCCTACCTCCTAGAATCTCTTTTTCTTTAAGATGCAGTTCAGGCACCACCTTGTCCTTGAAGCCTTTTCTGACACTTCCTCCTTGTTTCTTCCCCCCTCCCCCCCAATTGCTAGTGCCCTCCTTCCTAAGCTACCTTTTATTTACCTTGCTTATTTTTCTATTTATGCTATGTATCTATGTCTCTTGCTGTAGATTCTGTATGTACTTTTTTCCTTGCAAATAGAGGTTGTTACATTCTTTACACTTATTTCCCCAGAGCCTGGCACATAGTAGGCATTTAATAAATAAATGTTGACTAATTAAAGTAATAGTGTCAAGGGCATGTGGCCTGCATGCCAGTAATTCAGCCACTTTGGTAACTGCTTCTAAAGACTAGAAGTCATAATTTTTATTTGCCTGTTAGCAACAGATGTTCCAAAAAGCTGTTAGTAAATTGGAAAAAACTTATTAATGGCCTGGGGTACCATGTGTGGGCACACCCTTGAGGCATGAAAATACAGCCTTTTATTCCCTAACCCGAAAGGCAAGTCCCTCCTCCAGTTTCCCATTGACTGGGTACTACAGAGGTTACAGCCTGTCCGAAGCACATAATTTCCCCACTTGAGTCTCTGCCCCTAATTACATCTCCCACTCCCAACATTTCCATGTCAACAGTCTACAGCTGTCAATACCCCAGCAGCTACTTAACAGCCTGATGAGTGATAAGCAAAAGCAACATTCCCAACCACATTTTTTTTTTTTACAATTCCCCCTTTTAATTTACTCTTGTGCCTGTATCTTAATTTATTATAAAAGATTAAACTTTTGATAACCTTATTTCAATTTTCTTGTCATAATTAGGGTTCACCTCAGTTTCTTCATCTAGTCAAGAGACTGCCATTCCCTTCCACTTGCATGATTCTAACCATCCCATTCTATCTGGGGCTGTGTTATCGGGCAACATTTCATCAAGAGATTTTGGGGATTTGGTGAGGGAGAAATTAATCAATGCGATGACAAACCCAAAGGGAGAAAGGAACAAATAGTCCATTTAAGGCCTCTCATGCAGCTGTCTGGTTGGTCTTCTGGACATCATCATCCAGTGAAGTTTTCTGGTCTAAGTGCTGTTCAAGCAGTGTCCAGCAGACTGTCTTCTTGTAGAGATCCTTTTTCTTGTGTCCACTCTCCTACAAAATTGATCTTAACACAATTTAAAATTAACTTGTTTTTATGTGTCTATTATAAGATCAAAATTGGAACCTTAGCCAATTGTCATATTAAAGACTTCATATTCCCCAGCAGGCAGATGATATGCCACTAAGAAATTAGCAGACTCCAATATACACAAAACAATTCCAACTTTTGATCACGTACAAATAAATAACCCTTAATTAAAATGGATGCTTCTTTTAAGTCATTTACAGGATAGCCTACAAGCCATTCTTCTTTTAACATTAATTGTAACAAACTGAGACAGGTAAGATTAAGTAACAGAATATCTTCATTTCACAAGCCCTAAGCCTAATCGTCCCCATACCATTATGAGGAATTAAATTGGCTGTAACTGAAATAAAGGAGCAATGCCTTCCTAACTTCATGTCAATTCCAGACAGAAGTTATGTAATGGCCAACTGTATTGAGCCAGGCTTAAAGTCTGCCAGGTGTCATAGTGGGGAAATTAAGTCAGGAGAATCCTACCTCAGCTCCTGTACAATAGTCATTCTCCCGACCTTCCCATGAGAACACCCTCTGCAGTTTATAGATGCAGCTCAGTTAGTTAAGCAAATAATTTTAGCTGAAACTTTTATTTAAATATAGACAAAACTTGGAAGTTTAAGATTTCTTAATTACAGTACTTCAAAATGTTACAACACATGGTCAGATAGAATAACCTAAAAGCTTCTTAATGATGCTGAGACATACAGTACCCTAAAGGTTAAGAGATAAAAATTGCTTTTCCAGTATTTTGAAATCACAACTTGCTCATAAAATCCTTCCTTGACCTGCCTCTAATCTTTAACCGCCAGAAAAACTTCTGAAACTACATCATCCTTTTGAAAGGGCTGTATAAGCATAAGTTCCCCCAGATATCAGGGTCTCTTTTAGCTTTCTGACTAACGAAACCAGTGAAGCTTTCATGAAATAAAGCTCCCATTGGTTAAGAGAAAATTGTCTAAGTGAATTCTTTCGCACCTGAACCAACTCTCAGCTCAACATTAACCCATTCATTTTTCTCTTTCCTTGTAATCTATAAACAAACTTTAAAAAAAAATCTGGTAATGATAAACAGTAAAAAAAAAAAGTTTAAAATCCAATATTTTTGCCCCTTTAAAAGGAAATATTCTCCACAAATTCATATATTCCCTTAAGACACATGGCGACAAATCCTTGAGAGTTGAAAAGTATCTTTTGAGGCTTATCGGATAAAAACTACACTAAGCATTTCATCCTGGAAGTTTCAGGCTGATGCATGTTTTACAAATAGCGTGAAGTCACCTGTAATCACTCAGGTTAGCTAAGATTTTGACACAGACCACCTGAGGAATTTGAATCAATGCTGATAGGGGGTGGTCAGTTTTCCCCAGGCAGAAACCCTGTAGGGTTCCAATAACTGCACCTATTGAAATCTGGAGGCTACACCTAACAATTTGCAAATCGAGAGCTGTATTTTCTCCTTACCCTTCACTAACAACTTTGAGATCTAATTAAACCTGAATTCAAACCCTTATCTTTTCACTCTCAGCCCTTCCTACCATAGTTGGGCTGTATTCTCTATATCCTTATCAGTAAAGGTTGTTTGCTTCACCTTCCTCTAACTTCTAAGAGTCTGTTCCTGCTTTTTTAATTCTGTTACTCATTATCTAACTTTATCCTGGAATCTCAACTTGGCCAGTGCTAGGACCCAAAATCTCCTGCCGGAAGCCTAAGGTGAAAGTTCTTTCCCCAGTGTTCTCTCTCTAATTACAGATTTTCATTTTAAATCTTTCATCACAAACATGAAAGATTTTACAAACACATGCAGAGACAGAAACAGCTGGACAAGACAAAGTGCACACAAATCTAATTTTCTTGTTGGCTTTTTAAGCTATCTTCAGTTAACACTGACACCAGCCTGATCTTTTTTCTTATCTTTGTCCCAGTATTTCCATATCCTCCCTGAGGGGCTATCTAGAGTAATGTCCACAGGGGTCTCCTCATTTACCCTGGTTTCTCCGGGGCCTTTGTTCTCCATCTTACTTATTTGTCTGGGACCTACTTGGTCTCTAGACTCCAGTAAGATACCCCACAAAGGTAGTACTTAATAGTCCTTTTTTCCTACCTTGGTCCCAGCCATCAAAGGCAATACTTAAGTCTTTTTTTTTTTTTTTTTTTTGCTTTTTGGCGAGGCAATCAGGGTTGAATGACTTGCCTAGGGTCACACAGCTAGTAAGTGTTAAGTGTCTGAGGATTTGAACTTAGGTCCTCCTGACTCCAAGGCCAGAGCTCTATTCTCTGTGCCACCTAGCTGCCCCTAGTAGTCCTCTTTTCTTACCCTGGTCTGTGCACAGAGTTGCCTGGTTACCGAGTGCCTACTTTCCCTTTCCCCTTTTCGTTCCTGGTTCAGTAATAGCCTAGTTCATTAACTTGGTCCTAGGATTTTGAATAGTCCATGAGCTGAGATTCCACAGAGGATACACAGACCGTTGAAATCAACAGGACATGTCTTCCCATCCTTCCATGGCAGTCACTCTTCACTCGGGATGTTTGGATCCCAGACAGTCCCCTGATTTGTTAGCAACAAATGTTCCACAAAGCTATAGGTGAACGAGGAAAAAAAAAAAAACCTTTTTATTGGCCTAGCGAGGCCAGGTGTCCCATGCCTGGGCACACCCCTGAGGCATGAAAAATACAGCTTTTTATTCCCTGTCCTCGAAAGGCAAGCCCCTCCTCTGATTCCCCATTGGCTGGGTACTACAGAGGTTACAGCCTATCCGAAGCACCTAATTTCCCCATGTGAGTCTCTGCCCTAATTAAATCTCCCATTCCCCATATTTCCTGTCAGCGGCCTACTGTTGTCAATACTCTAGCAGCTACTTATCACCTGATGTATGGTAAGCCAAAGAAGCAACATTCCTAACCACATTTTCCACACCTGAAATTGAGTTTGATTAAGTAATCCCATTTTATCAAATGCAAGATTAAGACTATGATGATGGGAAGGTATTAGTTTAAAACTAGAGTCAGTCTTGAGGTGCATGTGTTGATATGGGCTAATGATGAATGATAAACCAGTAGACTAGTTATTTGCCATGTTGTTTAGCAGAGGAATTGTTCCTGCTGCCAACCTTGTTCTAAGGCAAAACTATTTCTCACCCATAGAGAGGAAAACCTTACATGAAAACTTTAGAGTAAAATGGAACCAGGTGGGCATATTTACATGATTTTATTGCTTGTTATTTCCTTTCTCCCTGTTTATTTGCCTCTGTTTTCTTTATTCTGTAGTTATTCACTTCTTCATGCTTCAAGAAAAACCTTTAGCAATGTGAAAGTCAGCATTTCTAGCCAATGGACTCCAACATTCTTAAACAAAACTGCTGTGAAACTGGAGCCTGTAGAGGTAAGGAGAATTGTATGCCAGAGTGGACTACATCTGTGTCTCCATTTTCTTAAATGTTGCTTATATAATACTTCCATGTTCAGAACCCTTACCTGACTTTTGTCTGTCACAAACTCCTCTCATTTTCAGGACTCTTAATCTGGTCCCATCCTAATGAACAGATTAATTTCAGTGCTCTAAAAAATGCCTACTTGACTTTAGCCAGATTGTTCCATAAGCATTATGCTTATTTATTCCTTTGAGCACATGTCCCTATCATTCTCCTCTCTTGGACTGTATCTTCTGTATCTGTTCAGTTCCTGCCTGTTCTTTGAGGAGGATCAAGCAACTTCTGCCTCTTCTATGAAGTCTTTTCCTGATTATACATACCTTTTTCTTTGAATTCTTATGCCATTTATCATGAGTACCATAACGTTTAGCCTTCTGCTATTTAACTCTTCTCTGGTCTTTCATGTATCTTGCCTCCTAAGTCTTTGGAGGGCAAGAACCAAGTGTTATACTTCTTTGTATTCTCCTGTGATGTCTAGTACTATGCATATGCATTGTTGATGGCGATGCACCCTGCTGGAGTATGCATTTTGTCATTCATTTTCAGTGCTTTTGGGTGGGATAATTAAAAACTGATATTGATATATTTACAGAGCTGTGTCTTGAAATTATCTTTTTATCACAATATGTATGGTCATTTAAATTTAAGATATAGGTGTATGTATTTGGAGTTTTTAGGAGATGAGGGGGCGACAAGCCAAATTTCAGATTGATTCTTTTGTACAGTGCTGAACGTCCTATTTAGAATCATGGGTTCTTAAAGTTGAGAGTCTAGCCTCTTACCTAATGCAGCAGATCCCTACATGGCATCATAGATAGGCAGTTAGGCAGCCTGCCAGACTCTGAACACTTTCAGGCCCACAAACCTCCCTTCTTTGTGAAGGGAGCCTTTCCATGTTTGGGTGGCTTTAATCATTAGTGAAATAGGAGAGTTTTCAAATTGAACTTTTCTCTAACTTCCGCTCGGTCTTAGCCCTTTCCTTTACATCTGCACCGAATGTCTCCTTCCAGTTTTGTGTTTGATATCTTCAAATATTTTGGTGACAGTTTTGATCCTACAGCCTGCTCTCTCCCTTTCCCCTCTCTCCAAACCTCACTAATTTTTCTTTCCTAAATTAAGCACCCTCAATGGACTAGATGGTTGCTGAGGTCTCTTCTAATTCTAAACTTCTGTGATTCTGATTCACAGCATGTGACTTCTCAACCTTTCATCATTCTGATCACTCTTTAGAACATGCTTCGTTGGTCAGAGTCCTTCTTAATAGTATGTTGTTTTAGATGTGATCCAACCAGTGCTAAGTAAAGTAAGACTGCTTCCTTCCTGGGCACTTCTCGTTTCATTACAAAGATAGCATTGATTTTTTTTTAAGAGATCACATCACACTATTAACTCTTATTGAACCTTTAGTTAGATTATACTGCAGACATTTTTCATTGAATACTGTTAAGATGGACCTTATCTTTTAGAGAGAGGCCAATTCCAGAAGTCTGAATTGGGGTTCTTAACTTTTTTGTCTCATGGACATACCCTTGGCAACCTTTGAACTCCTCAAAAAAGGATGTTTTTAAAATACACAAAACAAAATACATGGAATTACAAAGGAAATCCAATTATATCGAAATAAAAATTAATTTTTTTTTCCTTTTAAGTTCACAGATAAGTTGAAATCTATCATGATCCCTGGTCAAGAACTCTGTCATCTAAATTGTGTGTGAACTAAATACTTGTAGCTCATGAATGAGGTTGTGACCATTCACTTCCATGCCCTCAAATTAAACTGGTGTTACTCTGATTTTCCTCTGCCTCATTTATCTTTCTCCAAGCTTACCAGGAAAGAGGCCCCTAAATGGGTCATCTTATAGGCACGTAGTGGCTCTTTCCTTTGTCCTTTTGCTTTCATAACTGTCTACAACTTTGGCCACTTAATCTGTTCCCTGAAGCTTTTGGAAGGGAGAAGAAATTAGGCAAGTTGAAAGATGTTTGTAGACCCAAAAGTATCTGTGAAATTAGACTGAACTCCAACTTTTCTCTTGTCTGTGCATGATATTAAATATTTATAAAATCATCAGAATGTCATCCTCAGAGAACACTTACTATATGTCTTTGTTATTTGTCTGTGACACTGTCTCCAATTAAGAAATATACAAACACAGTACCTTACCCTCACGAGCTTATAGTCACGAAGCCTCATTCCCTTTGACGTGGCCAAACATTTAAAAAAAAAAAAAAGAATAAGTGTATAGGGAATAAACACATTTTGCTGAATTACTTTAAGCATTTGTGGTTTTGTTGGTGTATTTCTTTCACCAGTGCAGACTTCAACCTTTCTAAAACACAAGTCACCAATCTTTAGGAGGAGTTATGGCCTTAAAATGTGTCACCTTGTAGCCCACCTAATGACAAGTGTCTTCAGACTTAACTAGATTGGGCTCTTACAGACTAATAGACAATTATGTAGACAACGGACTTTTCTTTTTTCTTTTTGGAGAAAATTGGGGTTAAGTGACTTGCCCAGGGTCACACAGCTAGTGAATGTTGTGTCTGAGGGATTTGAACTTGGGTCCTCCTGACGCCAGGGCTGGTGCTTTATCCACTGCCCCACCTAGCTGCCCCAACAACTGACTTTTCACATATCCCCGTTACCTCAACATGAGAGACTTTCACGAAACACATGCCTCACAGCTGCCTTTAGATATATCCATAGATACATACTTCCTTTTGTGTGCCCATCCCTACTTTGACCTAGTGTGGAGTGTATGTACACACATCAATATATAAACAAATACATGTATGTGGAAGGTGAGCTTTGAGTTGAATCTTGAAGGATGCCAGGGAAACCAAAGGCAGAAGTGAAGAGGCAGAGCATTCCTTACATGAGGGATAGTCAGTGCCATGGTGCAGAAAGGGGAGATGGAGTGTGGTGTTTGAAGAACTCCAAATAGGCCAGTATAGCCAGGTCATTGAGTGGGAGAAGGGAGTAAAGTCTAAGAACATTGGAAAGTGTGTTCACACAGACACACAGACAAACACAAGTTCTCCAAAGGGGGCTCCAGAATGCACATTGACACTTTATACATAAATGTGCTTTCTAGAAATATACCTCTCTCAGCATATTTTCTGTTGCAAACCTAGACTCCCACTGCTGGTGTGTGCATACTACCAAGGAAATCAACTTACATTTAACATGTTTCCTATACTCAGAGTGTTTTTGTGTCATTGTATCTGTGTCTTGCACATTAAAGGATTCAGCAGGTACACTCAGGCCAGTTCTGCTTCATTGTGTAATCTTCCTTCCTTGTGTTGTCTGGGTAAAGTAAACCTTTTGTGGATCTTGCTTCTATTACCTTATTCTCTTGAGGTTTTGCTTTGGTCTTGCCTTTTTTAACCTGTTTGGTAGGCAAAACAAATCCCAAAGTGGCGTTCTGCCTGAGGCGTTGTTCTAATACTGCATCAAAAAACAAAGCAAAACAAAAAAACCAGCTGTTCAAGCTTCCCTTCCTCCTTGTCAGAAGCTGCCAGTTGTTGTGAAAGCCACTTTTGCAAGGAATCTGTTCATCACTCTGAGAAACAGGAAGGAAAGAAAAAGTCATAGCCTTACAGAAACTTTATATGAGGCTTTTGCTCTGTCTGTCTCCATTGGCACCTCATTCTTAAAAAAGACGGAACTATTTCACAGTCACTTTAAGTGCATAGCATTTTGGATCACTGAATGAAAGATATAATTACAGGGAAATGATGTATCGAACAACAGATATTTTTGAAGATGTAATTGATCAGAGGGCTTTCAGCAAGACAAGGCTTCTTTCTCCCTTTTGTAGGGTTTGTGGAGTTGGAACTGGAAGGGACTTCACCTCCTCCTTTTACAGATGAGGAGACTGAAGCCCGCAGAGAAGTGACTTGACCAAGGTCAAGATCACACTGGCAGAGCTGGGGTTCAAAGCCAGACCTTCTCATTTCACTCTCTCACTGCCCCCTTCCTCTCTCCTTCTCTAGCAGGAACTATGGTTCCTAGTACAGTGCTGTAGGAGTTTTGATTATAAAATAAGCCATTGCTATAAATCAGTCTGTTTTCTAATTACATCTGCTTTTGCTGTGGTATTTAATTTATTGCATCTTGATGATTTTAAAAATAAGTTCTGTTAAAAATGTGTGATTTTTAAAAGTTTGCTCAATTCTTAGAGAATTTTTTAAGTCCTAAGACCTAATTTTTTTCCCTTGGAAGATAGTAATTTCTGAAGTCTTAATGAAAATTGGAGAGAAAATACTTTATTTTATGAAAATTCTACTTATAAACAACTCAGAAATACTTATAGGTACAGCTGAATATTCAGAAGAATTACAGAATTTAGATCTGAAAGGAGCTGCGGGGATTATCTAGTTCAAACCTCTCAGTTTACCGATGAGAAAACTGAGGCTCGTAGACATCAAATTGACACATTAATCTAAGGTCATGTCACTATCTAAGTTCAGAGGCTGTAGAGCAAGAACTGAGATCTTATAAATCCAATTTCAGAAGACTAAAGAGGCAGATGAGTGCCAGGTGAAAGTAAAAAAAATAGGTGAATAAAAGAAATTTCCTGAATAAGTACGAGAAGCATCCAGCTTATATAGATTTTAAAATGCACAGTGACTGCAGATGTTAACCTTCTTGAAAGAGGTTTCTGGTGCCACAGGGTTCTGTCATTGGCCTTGTTCCGTTGAATGTTTTGGTATTGGTTCAGATCAATCAACAAGCATTTGTTAAGTCCACTGTGTCTGAGGCACTGTGCTAAAAGCTGGCAGTACATATACAAAGAGTGAAAGAAACCCTCCTCTCAAGGAGCCAGATGCCATGCCTATCACATTGGCAGATGACGCCAAGCTTGGAGAGATAGCTAATACGTTGGACAGTAGAAGGAGGCTCCAAAAAGATCTCAGGATCTTTCTTAGGATGGTGGGCTAGATCTAAAAA